TGAGACGGGCGGACAGCGACGACACCAGCATGAACCACGTATACAAATCCCGACCATCTTTACTAGTGAGTTATAACGGTGAGTAGAAAAGAATGTGTTGTTAGTAGTTAAGATTACTATATAGATGTCATTCACAACTTCATTATTCAGTCATAAAATTGCATTGATTTTGCAAACCAAATTAGAAATTTACTTTGCATTGTTTCCATTATAAGCCTGGGGTGAAGTAACCATACCATAGTGTGGGGTGGCATAATTTTGATAAAAAAATCAAACAATAAAAACATTTATTATCTAGTTTGATAAAGTTTCAAGAACACAAGATTAATAAGAATAACTTTCTTAACAAGAATAACAAGAATCAGCAGTGTCAAAGGCATCTTTGCTCTCTTCTTTCTCTTCTTGAGTGTCAGAAACTTCCTTGAACTTCTTCTTTTTACCCTCTTTCTCCTTCTCCTCATCAACTTCTTCAACTTCACCTTCGTTTTCTTTCTTTGGTTCATCTTCATTCTCATCGTCACTGATCTCCTTCTCAGTGGTTTTCTCGGTCCACAAATAAATCGGGTAACTAATGAACTCAGAGTGCTTCTTTACCAAGTCTTTGAGTCTCCTCTCCTCCAAGTATTCAAGCTTTGTCTCCAATTCCTTCATTCTCTTTTCTTTCTCCTCCTTAACATTCCTTAAACCAGCAACCTCTGTTCTCTCCACGTACTTCCCGTTACTGTTATTGTTGTTGTTACCACTAGAGAGCATTGTAGCGGTGGCTTCAGCTGGTTTAAGATTAAGCTTCAGGATTTCCTTCTCCATCAGCTGAAACCTCCATCTTAAGAAATTCTCTCTGTTCTTCTCTTCGTCTTCCTTAAAATCATCTCTGGACTCTACAAACTCCTCTCTCTCTTTAGGACGAGAAAACTCCGGTGAGAATTGATCATGAGTCTCCGTTGTTAAGTCTCTTCCCAACTCAGTCTCTACTTTCACATCATCACTTTTCGCCGGAAATTCACTCCCCAGCTCAGCTCTTATTCACTGATACCACAAGTGA